GATGTGAGGCATATAAGTTCAAAGGCCTAATGCCATATATTTAAAGCTCCTCTTCATCACATGCTTCGATATCTTCCCGACCCATCTAGTATCTAATTCCCCTAGGTGGGCCGCGTTAAATGTCCGTCTGCTTCTCGAATGCTTTCTTTTATCTCCTTTAACAAACTTAATTTCCATTTCGATTGATAGGACAGCACAGTCGACTTTGGCTTCGGATCTGTTACGTCCACTAGTCAGGTGGAGAATCTACTCCTCTCACAAGACGCCACGTTTCAAGGTCCTGCTGCTGCTGCTAGTGCCTCCATGCAGAGAACGGCAGACAACCCGTTCGCACTTAACTTTGACGGCCTGGGCTTCACCGATGTGGGCGGCGGCAACTCTTCTGGTGGTAATCCGAGTGGAAGGACACCGCTGTCACAATTTTAATGGTTAATTTGCCACCGGTCTGGACTCCATCTCGAACGATTGAAAGAAATAAACATGCCACACGGCGGACCGAATGGAAAGTGGAACGACCCTGCGAACTTACGAACTTCTTTTCTCTAAACCATGCTTCTTAACTCTTCTCGAGGCCTGTGCCCGTTACGTTCGTCGTACGCAACGCGCCCAGCCCTCGTCTATTACCCAGGCGACGTGTGAAGGCGGTGGTGACTGGGTAATTGTGTGTGCTAGCTCAGCCCTGACGTGGAATGACGTACAAGCGTGAGCCTAAAAATCTGGCCGGATGGTTAAAAATGACGCCACTGTGTTCGCTGTCAGACGTTTCGGCCCGATATGTTACTGGGGAGTCCGTCTATGAATTCGTTCTCCCAGGTAATTACCGCCTGTAACGGCACTTCGGCTCAGGAAACCGCCATAGTACACCATCCGCCTCGCTTCACTGTCCGCCTGACCCCATTTTCTCACGTCCATTTCTTTCTCCCCTCTCCTCGCCGCTCATTCTGGCATTTTGCGTTTTCTCAGTACTTTTTGAATTCGGAACCACTGTTTTCCTAGTGATTTTATGACTCAGAAGTTTGTTCATCCTCATTCATTTGTCCCCATACTCTCTTCGGCCTCTTTTACCAGGGCTACCATTATCTACTTCCAGATTCCCCGCGAGCCTGCTCACTGTCGAGACAGTGTTTGTTTTACTACAAAAATAAATTTTCATTCCGTATGTTATTTGAATCCTTTTACGTTGACCTGTCCGCTCATCTCCAGGGTTTTTATTCCACGTCACTGACAAGTAATTACTCCGAGAGAAGTTTAATTTAATACGCATTCTAACTTCAGTGTCTCCTGTTCCTCCTTCGGGCTGCACTCTGTGCTACCCGTGTGCGGTGATTGCACGACTGAAATGGCCGACGAGATTCCATCAACATGCAAACTCTGAAGCTGTTTTTTGTGCGGCCTGCGATCGATTTGGCTTGTCTAGTCGCGCATTTACGTTTGGAACGGTTTTAGCACACGAAATGCGTAACACATGGAATCAGTCTTGAAAGTGGTGTACAAATAAGAGTACGAGAAAGTTGTGAATAGATACAAGTATGGCAGAGGGCTGGAACAAGAGTTTTCTTGTTCCAGTGATCGCATCCTCTTCTTCTGTCTTGACACTTATCTCAAGTGGGTGAGAGGAGAGAGAGAGAGGGGTGTAGATGCCGCGCAAGTCTACTACCACTTTAGAACAATTCACGCGCAAGTCACCGGTCATGCATCCCCTTGCTGTAGAGCAGACGGTGAGCGTCGTCGAACTCGACGATCGGATGGCCGTGTGTGGGTATATTTGGGCTTCCTGTGGAAAGTTTTATTCTCTCTAAGAGTTTGACTCGGTAGTATCGGCCTTTCGTTTCGTGCCTAGATAATACATTGACATTGCTTGCTCCCCCCACCGTATTCGCTTACCCGAATGCGTCACATGAGTAACAGAGCTTGCCCCGTTAGACCTTCCTATTATTATACCGTGAATGAAAATGCATTAAACACGAAGTTGCATTCCTGTTCGCACATAAGTATAGGGTATTATTTATAGCATAGGGACACACGTTTCCTTGCATTTCCATTATACTTGCCGTTATAAACCTTTGTTTTTGACAATAACCTCACGCTCATTACCGATGTGGACTATTTCAACAATTTGTGCGTGTCTCCTCTGAGGGCTACGAAGAACTGGAAGGCACAACAGCAAAGTCAAGCATACCACCCACGATAACCCACAAAGCAATGACGACCAACTTCCAGGTTTCGCTAGGAGCAGTAAACTCTTTTATTATAATATTAATTAACCAAGCTTCGACAAGCCCTCTACTTGCTTTCTATTCAAATTAAGACAATTTCAAGCGGGAGGTGAATAGCAATGATGCATAAACCCTCAGTCGTTTTAATCAGGTCCTCACCACGTATCTTATTCGGTTATGAGATAATGGCAAGCAGTTAACTCTTGAAAACGAGAAATGGGTCTCCTGTAAAAAGACCATCGCTTTGCTATAAGCTACTCACCTGTGTCAGAATGTGCGTGAATCACAGATAAAATAGGCGCTGATTAACACTCGCTGATGACTAACGAAACTCACTCGTCCCGTTATGCCCCGTGAATCGTTCTTTAGCCCCACCAGCAGCCACGCAGCGACCAGCAGTGTAGGCAGATGAATATTGTCAGTAAAGACAAGGGCGACTGGAGGGTCCATTTCTGGCTTATTAGCCGTCAGTCACTCGCAACCCCAGTGGTGCACCATCCGAGACTCGAATTCGCGACCTTTTGATCACAAGTCGAACGCTCCAACCATTGAGGCACGAGCTCGTTGTCTTGACGGTTTAGATCGGGAGATGTTGAAACTCGTTGATGAACGTTCAGCGATCGCCAAAGGAAATCATTCGTCCTGCTCTAGCTTGGGGCTCATAGCCAGCAAAGACAAAGGAGAACGTTAAACTGATGACCAAAAGGTTGCGAGTTCGAGCCTCGTGTGGTGCGCGACTTGAGGTTGCGTCTGACTGGGTGACGACGGCTTATCAGCCAGAAATGGCCACTCCAGTCTCCCCTGTCTTTGCCGACAATGCTATCTGCCTAGGTGGCTCGTTGTCGAACGGAGTGTTGTGCGTCGTCGGTTGTTTCAGTTCTCACACGCGTGGCTTCCAGGGCTGTAATGAGGTCGACAGGATCGTCGTGGACGGTGTTAAAACAAGGTTCATGCCTCAGCACCCGTAGTTGCTGCTCTGCTTGTTACTTGGATGGTAGGTTTTGCACGACTTTTGAGCTTCCTATGTCAGATGATTGTAACTTGTGCTGTTTCTGTTCCAAAATTACTCGTTTCTTGGCTTATCTGAGATGCGCCAACGCAGAGATTGTCTTATCGAGGTCCGTTATGATGCAATCGCCAGGAACGCGGGTATACTATCATATTCTGCTAAATAGCAGCTGGATCTGGCGCCTGTATACAAGGCTCTGTGCAACCACCCCCGGACTGGTCTTTGATTGTCCCTTGCGCCCTATAGCCTTTGCTTATTTTTTGTTGCCGCTTTTATCTCCGATGATGGACTTCAATAAGAGTTCGAAAGCTCAGACGAATAAAGCTATGATTCCAGTGAGCGACGAGCCTTCGTCTTTTTTTACTAATACATACACCTAGGATGTGAGCATTCACCCCAATCGAAGATAAAGCTTGTCAAACCGTCGCATTCTTCGTGTACTGTTCATCCTTTAGATTTTGGACGAAATTTCAACAGCAACTTTAACGTACTTTGCAACTACAGGAGATTTGCATAGTAAATCGCCCTTACCTCCATGTCGTGCAGTATCAGCTTGGAAAGACATCCTAAAGAAGATAGTATTTTCCATAAATTCTCGTCAGGCCAATACATTTGTATGGGAAGGGGGTGCATGTTAAAACGTGTTCGTCTGTTCGTACAAGTGGGTCGTGGGAATGTGGGGGAGGTGGTCGATAAGAGATGGCTGGTTAGAAGGGCAGGGTTCGGTGGAGCGGTCTAGGGGAGGGAAGGTGGAGGGGGGAGGGATACAGACAGAGCATGGATGAGTGCATGCAGCTAGGTGACTGTTGGCCACGCCAGCGGCGGAGCTTGTAGGAACCTCCTTTGTACACATAATGCTGGGTGTGCCCTCATAACCAGCCATCTCTTATCGACCACCTCCCCCCATTCCCACGACTCACTTGTACGAACAGGCGAACACGATTTAACATGCGCCC